CCTTGATCTAACCACAGCTTGCCCGATGAATTGAGATGACCTGCAATCCATTGTTTTCTTGCTACCAACTGCGTATTGTCAGGAATCAGTAAGGTACCGAGTACCTCGCCTTGCTGTAGGCGATTGAGCACGTCTTTTTCTCTGCCAGAGGCAATAATGGTAGCGCAGCCAGAACGTGCCGCACGTTGTGCTGCGATGACTTTGGTTGCCATGCCGCCCGTACCGATATTGGTTCCAGCGGAACCTGCAAAACTAACAAAGCTTGGATCGGTGGCCGAGCCTTCTGAAATCAATTCAGCATCATCATGATGTCGAGGGTCTTTGGTATACAAACCGTTTTGATCGGTGAGAATTACTAATAAATCCGCTTCGATCAGATTAGTGATTAGACACCAAAGCACCTAAAGGTGATCGTTATCACGCCAAGCCGAATTTCCATCGCATTGGCCACAGTGTCGTTTTCATTTCACGATAGGCAAGGTGTGGCAGATATTAACAGGTGTGCGTAAAGGTATTACGGCATTTAAATAACGTTAACGATTACTGATGTAATCGTGGGGTTAAGAGAAATTTGTGGCGGCCTGAAGTTGTATTGCTGAAACTGTCGCTTCGTAGGCTTCGATAACCCGTTTGTTCCAATCGCCCGCTGCTGCTTGTAAATTCAGGTAGGCTAAGAAGGGGCGGGCGTCGTCCAGGCCATACGACTCCATAACCTTCGGCTACTGCGCCAGAGGAAACTAACACTACTTCAATGCCTTGTTGACGTAAGCGAGCAATTTGCTCCGCCCAGTCACTTATTGCAGCATAGTCGAGTCCTTTGCCATCTTGCGTTAATAAAGCGCTACCTATTTTGATGATCCAGCGTTTACTTTTCTGTAGAGTGAGAGAACGATTCATCGGTGGCAATTCTATCGAAAGTTATTGTTCTGCTGCATAGGCAGCATCATCTAAATATTGCATGATTTTATTGGCCAAGTCTTGTGTGCCTACGCCTGTTGCTGCGGAAACTAGGAACACAGGGTTAGTCCATGCAAGACGTGCGATGATGTCATCACAAACGCTTTGTATTTCATCCTGTGGGAGTAAATCAATTTTGTTGATAATTAACCAGCGCTCGCGGTCTTTGAGTTCATCGCTGTATTTTTCCAATTCG